TTTCATTTTAACACTTTGTTTCAAACTAAAGATATGTTTTTTGGTGACTTTGTTAGACACGGTTGGTAATATGACTAGGCAGCCTACCTAGAAATGGTGGTGACACTTAATGTTTATATTATTAAAATTTCTCAATAAGCTTGCCAGTAGCTCACAGCTGCAAAGAGAAATGCATGCTATATACATTTGTTGAAATGTCAAAATTTCCTATATCAAACCGGGGGGAAATTCTGCAAGGAAGGAGAAATATTATGAATGAAATAGCCTTTGGGTAAGTGTTTAGAAATGACGGATCCACTGCCAAATGGAAGAGTTGGTGAATGTGATTAATGAAATCAGAAATACATAACACTCTTAGCATAATCCCATTCAATTTAATGAGAATAGCTAATATTTACTGAATATTTACTAGGTCCTAAGTTCTGTTTTAATACAGTTCAAAGGCATTACCTCTTTTAAACATCACAGCAGCACCATAAGGTAGGTATTACCATTATCTCCTTTTTACAAACGAAGAAACGCAGGCATAGAGAAAATATTTTACTTACTTTGCATGTTCTCAATACATATGGCAGAACATTCCACTGATTAACTTGATTTTTGGTAAGATTCTATATACTTAAACAAAATGAGAGCTTCTGGGATGGAATGTTCAAATCCTGGCTCTGCTATTTATCAGCTGAACGACTTTGGGAAAAGAAAATTACTTGTTCTCTCTATGCCTCAGGTTCCCATCAGTATAATGGTGATAATAATAGCACCTACCTCATAGGGTAAACAGTAAATTAATTATTACCCACAAAACACATATAATAATGCCTGGACTTTTATTTCATAGTAAAAGCCCAAAATATATTAATCATTATTATTAATAAAATATCATCATAAAATTACTTTAAAGAAACAAGGTAAGAGAGAGATTTCAAAGCAAGTTCAGAAGGGCATGGATTATTAGACAGCAATAATGAGATAAACAACAGAAATGACGAGTCATTAAGTTGGAACTATAAGACGATAAATGGAAGAGTAAAACTGCAGAAAACTGTGAGAAGAAAAGGCAACCTCCTGTTCAGGATCATAAACTAAGCCTATGTGCTTACCTGCTCTCCCTCTCAAAATATACCTGCAATGTCAGAAAGATTGGAGGAAGGGAATAAACCTGTAACAACACTGAAATTGCAGAAAGGACCATTATTATACCAGAAACTTTGAAGAGCATCTGTAAGACAGATAACGGATGGAATTGTATTGAAGAAAAAATCAAAATGATGGATGGTATAGCAGTAAGCCGCAGGGGGGAAGGCCATTTTCCTAAAGGAACTTAAGAGAGGCGCCAAGTTTCCAGAGGCTTATACAGAAGGAAGTGACCTGTAGTATGGTAATCAGGACACTTAACAGAAGTGCCATATATGGGAGAGACATTTGAGAAGGCGTGCATCCACAACACGAAAATAGGGTATCATGAAATAAAAAGACAGAGGGAAGGAAAGAAGAGAGGGAGGGAGGAGAAAAGAAAGGAAAGAAGAAATAAAGAATAACACAGAATTCTTAGATAACAAAACTCTAAATAAATTTCAATTTTTTATAGAAGACTGAAAGAGGAAGTTAAGGAGATCTACAAGTATAAGAAAGTAAAAGATAGAAAAAGATGAAAAACAGAAGATACAGCTGAGTGATAAAGGATCAGTCATGCAGGTCCACCATCATTCTAAAAGGAGATTAAGGAACAGAAAATAGAGAAATAGTCAGCAGAAAAGGAGACAGAAAAGAACAGTTGAAAGATGACTTTTCTGAGGCAAAGGGCCTACTGATTGCCAAGTAGATAAAATTATATAAAATATTCTCATGCTCAGATTTTATTTCAATAAACCACAGAATAGGAGATTAACAGAGAAATGCAAACCATAAAATAATTCAATGCAAACACAAAATGTGACATCAGTCTTAGCAAAACCACTAAATAACTCCAGATGATGTAGGAGTTATTCAAGAGGCAGTTCAAATATTGGCAACAATACATGAACTCAAAAGTATCTTAGCCTGAGAGTCCATGATCCAAATATTGCAAATAAAGAATTGGCACTGAATAACATTGCTACTTGGAAAAAGTTTATCTTTAATCAAAGTTGTTTGGCTGTGGGCAGCTTCCTTCCCAGGGCTAGAGAGGCCCTCATACTCTTCTAGAACTGCCTTTCCCCAGGCAGCACCCAGTGACCTAGGCTGTTTCTCATTTACCAAAATGGCAAAGTACTCAACTCCATCAGGAAACAACCAAACCGACAATGTAACTTAACTCATTGGTGGGAATATAAAGTAAAATACTTACTAGAAAATCATCCAAAAGTATAAGTGATTTTAAAAAGCTTATATTATTTAATCTGGTGATCCTACTCTTTGAGAACCTTCATATGTATCCAGAAATGTCTACTACCATTTATAAACAGATATGTTTAAACTCAGTATTATTTACATTAAGAAAATAGAGAAAAAATATTAACATACCTAATGGCCAACAATTGATGTAAATGGGCAAGTAATAATAATGCATGAATGCAGTAACATATTATACAACAAAATACCAGCCATTATTATGGTAAAAATATAGAAAATTAAAATTAAAATCACAGGCTCTATAAAACACAACAAAAATGAAAATGCTTAATAGCAAAAATTCTGGGATGTATCCAACATGGAATAAAGATATAAATGTACAGATGTGAAAATAATTAAGCATACAATTCAAGTTTAAAGAAAAAGTAGATTCTAAAGAAAAAATCAGCATTAAATGATTGAGAACACATAGAAATGGATAACTTATTTGTTATATGAGACATAAAAGCAACCTGCTAAAATCTATAATTAAGAAAAAATAAAAGTTATAGATGAGAAAGAGACTATAAACACAAACAATACTAGTAGTCACAACAGTTAAATTATGAAACTTAATAACCCAATCAATGATTTCCATTCAAATGAAATGAAATCTCTTGCTGTGCAGAAGCCTTTTAGTTTGATACAGTCCCATTCATTTATTTTTGCTTTTATTTCCCTTGCCTTTGGGGTCAAGTTCATAAAATCCTAAGACCAAGGTCCGTAAGTTTAGTACCTATGAAAACAACTGAAGTGTCCTCCAATAGATGATTGGATAAAGAAGATGTGGGACATGTATACAATGGAATACTATTCAGCCATAAGAAAAGATGAAATACTGCCATTTGTAACAGCATGGATTGATATTAAAAATATCATGCTAAATAAAATAAATCAGACAGAAAAAGTCAAGAACCATATGATTTCACTCATATATGGGATACAAAACTGAAAGCAACAAATGAACAAACAAGAAAAACAAAAAACAACATCTCATAAACACAGACAACATATGATGGTTACCAGAGGGAAGGAGGGATGTGTCATAAAGGGTAAAGAGGGTCAAAAATACAGTGACAAAAGATTTGAGTTTGGGTGGTGGGCACACAATGCAATATACAGATGATGTATTAATAGAATTGTAAACTTGAAACCTATGTAAATTTATTAACCAATGTCACCCCAATAAATTTAATAAAGAAATAAATAAAAAGTAACTAACATTGGTTACATAAAGAATACAAACCATTGTTCATAATCACATTTATCACAAAATGAAAGTACTCATGTGCATTTGACATTAGTTTGTCATAAAAGTGATATTCAAATAAAATATACTTCCTTGAGTCAACAAAAAATAAATAAATCATTAAGATTTACTAAAAATAGGTAAAATTTTCAGTAGAACAAATACCAAAGCAAAAAACTGAAAAGTTTTAACAGAATAACTTCTCTCAAAAATTCCCTGGAATCAGATGATTTTATGATCAAGCTGGTAAATTTTCAGGGTATCTGCTACGTTCATTTTCTCTCACCATAGACAAAGATGACATCTTAGCGAATTTATCCTTTGTAGTTGATATTGTCCTATTAATTTAAAAAACTGAAAAAGTTAACTTGTAGGAAAACTGTAGACTTAATGTAACCTAGCTCACTCTTAAATATAGATGGAAAAATTCTAATATAGATCTCCTAGCTAGAGATTAGTACTCGCCCCCATGGTGCCAACACCAGTGCTGAGAAAGGGGGTACAAGAGCTCTGAGAACCAACCATGACACCAGAAACATAATAACAAGGGAGGTGCCTGACTTCCAGTTTAAATTAACACTGGAATTAAGTGACTTGATGTAACCAATGCAGTTTAACTATCTTAGACATGTTGAGTAATAAAACAACACATGAGAGAGCGAGGTAAATGTATTGTCAAAGAGGAGACAGTAGCAAAGAAACTGACACTTCCTGTTTACTAATACCACTGTCTACCTGACTATAGTCTAGATCTAGGGATGATATTTCATTTGTAGAGAAATGTGGAGTTTCCTTTTTATTTTTCAAGTTTAAAAGCGCTTTTCCTATCCATAGTTCACCCTTTGTGTTTGACAAATGAGGAAACTGAGATTCAGAGATTTTCAGTGCTGCCTAAAATCTTTGGATGTTTAGAAGGAATAGAGCCCTGGCCGGTTTGGTTCAGTGGCTGGAGCATAGGCCTGCAGACTGAAGGGTCCCGGGTTCGATTTCGGCCAAGGGCACATACCTCGGTTGCAAGCTCAAGCCCTGGCCCCGGTCCCGGTCCCGAGGCAACCAATTAACCAATTGATGTAACCAATCAATGTGTCTCTCCCGCATTGATGCCCCCCGCCCCCTCTGAAAAGCAATGGAAAAAATATCCTCAGGTGAGAATTAAAAAAAAAAAAGAAGGAATAGAAACACATTTATATACTAAAGAATTTATATTTGCACCTTTTAGCTTTTCTTAATAGCTAAATTTATCAGTTTTCTTAATAGCTAAATTTATCAGTTTAGAATAAATTATTTAATATTGTATTTCACTTAAAACAATCCCAATTAATAGATGATACTTTATTATATGATAAAAAGCAAGGGATTTAGAGAAAAATGCAACTGTCACCTTCTTATAGTTTCTGGAATAGAAAGGGAATGTGGTCCTTCAGGCCAGCCGAAGAGGCTGAACCAGGTCTGAGCTGCATTTACAACCTTCTGAAAGAAGCCACATGCCTTTGTTCCTGGCTCAGGAGAAAACTGCTTATTTTCTCGCTCCTTTTCCATCAATCGATCGCTTTTCTTCTTTGTCTTTACAGTTTTGGCCAAGTTCAATTTTTCAGGTGTTGTTTCCACTCCTAAAATTCACATTTTTTTGGTAAAAAGGGTTACTTGACCATCGAGTAAAATATTCTGTCAGCTATTGCAATTTGTAGGTAGACAAATAGAGCTCATTCTACAAATTATTCTGTGCAATCAAAGGAATTCTGATCCAATTTACTGCTATCTTAAAATAAAAAATGAAAATAGATTTATTTAAAATATCCAACAGAAATACTTTAAAAACAGATGAATTACAATAAAAAACATTAAATTTTCTTCTGGCCATAATGGTATAGGAAAATACTCCCCAAAATGGAACCTTTCACTTTCAATTACATATGTAAAATATTTTAACAAGTCTTTAGCTTTACTGATTAGACAGAATTAAACTTTAGCTGAAAAACGTACAGAAACAAAATACTGACTTCAGACTCAAAGTTACTTTCTATCTAAGTGAAGCACTTCAATAAAACAAAACATTTTGAGTTAATTCTTGAGACATTTCCAAGAATATAAAATGATTTGATCATATTAAGGAAAATATCTGCCTATGTAATGGCACAAGCACAACTCATTTAAAAACCTCACAATATTTCATTTGGTTTGGCCCATTCAATAAAACGCAAATTTTTCAATACTATCCATATCCAGAGAAAGGAATATTTGAATAGTTAATTGCAAATAGTATTATCAAATTCACATATTTTTCTGTGCTCATCTCTTTCTAAAATAGGCAACATTAAATCCCAGATAGGTAATTAGCAGACAAAACCGTAGTTCAGCAGTTCCCAAACTGTGAACAGTTCCCAAACTGTGGTACCTGGATGTCATAGCAAATTCACAGGGGCTCTGCAGGATATTTAGCATTTGAGCTAACATCTGTTGGCCATCACATATACTACTACGCTTAGGTTTTTGGACCAAACCACTTAAAAAATGGAACTGCTTAGTACACCTTTTGGCCTAGGGGAACATTACTGAGATACTAAGTGCACTGTGAAGCAAAAACATTAGACTCTCTGCTTTAGATCGTTGGAGAGAGAGCTCCCAAAGCAGATGACCCACTTAAAGCTAATGAGAAATTCACGGTTTTCTTCTTGTATTTATTACCTGAAAAAACCAAAGCTTTTAATTAAATAATATTAAACAGATCATATTATAGACTGGGTTTGAGCGGAACACTATATATTTGCCACATACCAATAAAAAATCTCTTCGCAGGCTCAGCACTGTCACATTTAGAAGAGGATAATCCGTCTTTTACGGCTGGAAGTAAAACATTGTCAGTATTTTTCACAGGACTGGGGTCCCTATCTGCAAATGACACACTGCATCATAACAGGTCAAACAACCATTTGTAAATTCACTATTGAATTTAATTTCAAATTACTGAATCTGAATTTCACAATTTCATATATAAAATATATATATGTATACATGTATATACATACATATGTGTAATACATACACAGTACAAAAACCAAAGAAAAAAGCCTATAAAAGAAAAAAAAGAAAAATGTCCATTATACATAAAATAAGATGTAAAATGTCAAATAAGAAAAAATAATACAAAGGGTGATATGGCTGTCTCAATTAAATGAACTTTGTTTGATAAGATAATTATTATGGTATATCAAAGTTTCTGGAGAACGAACAATGCTCAACTTTAGCATAAACTAGGATATGTAAAACATTTTAAGTGTTTTTACACCAAAATTTTTGAAATTATTATATATGGTGCTCAAAAACAAAAATAGAAAAGTTTTCACTAACAAAAGTAATTTCTTCCTAGTTATTTTTCTGAAATGAAATCACTGCTTGGTTACGAGCTGAGATCATTTTGCACAGCCTTCAATCTCTATTCCAGTTAGGAGTTGCTGTATATACACTAGAGTTTTCCACCGTGGTAATCTGAACCCAACCACAGGCAATGCTGACCAAGAAAAAAACAGTAGATGTGACTTAGGGCAGATTAGCTATGTATTTATGTATGTATGTATGTATGTATGTATGTATCTATCATCTATCTATCTATCTATCTATCTATCTATCTATCTATCTATCATCTATCTATCTATCTATCTATCTATCTATCTATCTATCTATCTATCTATCTATGTCAGTCTGTCCATCCATCCACATATGTGTATGTATATGTGTATGTATACAGACACACATATACATATATTCGTAATGTAATTCTATCAGAAAAGCATGGCTTGTACAATTACAAAAATCTAATTTGAAAGCTTGGCACTACAACTCCTGAGCTGTTAAACTATGGGTTTATTATACAAGTTCTCCGCAGCATATGTTTATATCTGTAAAATGAAACCAAAGGTTCTGAGTTCATGAATCTGTTGTGAGAATTACTTTATGAGCAATAACACATATATATATGCTAGTATATACTACGTTTCTTCCACTCTTTCAGTACAAAGCCAGTGAGAATTTGCCAGAGACCCTTTATTCAGTAGGTGTGCATAGCTCCAGGATGCTACGCCACTATATGCTTCATAGAAGTGAGCCTTAGAAAATTCAAGGATAGAATGAATCATTGTGTATGCATGAAGCAGTATCGTTTCAACTTACCAACTCACTTATAAAAAGTTCTTATTTGGGTACAAATCCAAACCTGTACCCTTCAAATTAAGTTAGTGATTCATATAATAATTTTTATTTAGCATATTAGCTCTAACAAATAAACCTGCTTTACTTTTGGATATACTTAGTATGTTTTAAGATTTCATCTTTACTGACCATAATATACTCTAGAACACAGTAGCTACTAAGTGTGCAGGCTCTGAGGTCTTACAAATGTGGTTAGCATTTCCTGGGGCAAGTTGCTCAACCTCTCTATGAGTCATTTTCTTAATCTGTAAAGTGAGATTAATAAGAGTATTGAACTCCAAGTTGTTGAAAGGACTAAATGAAATAAATATAAGGTACTTAGCAGAGCACCCTATGCCTGGAAATCACTAAACATATATTATAAGTTATTATTATACATATTTATAAAGATATTTTAGAATATTTAAGAATCATGAAATTTGGGTAATAATTACCCAAATAAATGCATTATTTTTAACCCATATACTTCATACTCAATCATCCTACAAACACAAAAACTTGACTCATTTTTTTCTTTTAAAGAGATAGCGGTCTTTTGTACAGTAATTCCTCATTATTTTCTGGGAGGATATTATGAAAAATATAAAAAAGTAATAAAGCAATGAAAATAGTAACAGTTATAATAGCAATAATAATGAAATGATAATGATAATCATAATAATACTTTCCAGGTATTTATAGTCTATGAGTCCTCAGAAAAACCTTTGAAATAGGTAAGCACCTATTGTTAGTAGCCTGCTACTCCCTCACCATGCACATTTTGTTCAATAACAGATGTTTAAGGATCTGAGAATTAAAGATAAAATCATATGGCAAAATGGTGAGGTCAACACACAAAATAAAATCTCCACCCAGGTTCTATGACTCTTCATCCATTGCTCCTTCTATGGTGAACTCCCCACCCCACCCTGCCCAGTATATTAGAAAAATATTAAAAACTAACATCGGGACTAACCAGAGAGAGAGAGAGAGTAGTCAAGAGTATAATGGAAGAGCACTTCATTCCTCACCCAACATTTCCTTCCCGCTAAAGGGAGCTGAGGTACTCTAAAAGCCTACTTTCCTTTGCTATTTTTCTCCGTCTCCCTCAGAAACTGAGTGGTTCATCTGACTGGTAAGTTTGGAAAGACTAAATCAAGCATTCGTGGCCTGAATTCACCCTCTTTCCTCTTTGGGAATGAGCCAGTCCCCTGAGGGAATATAGTCTCCTTCCTCCCAGCTGTCCCCCGCACACTCCCACAAAGCAGCTAAGGGGGAGGCAAACGATAAAGGGCAACAGTAAGCCAGGGTGGCAAGGCCATCAAGGGCCTGAGTCAGGAGACAACCCTGCCTCCCAGCTTCGTGACAGAAGAGATAATGGGTGGCAATGCGTGCTTGGTATTTGGAAGTTCAGAGTGTTCCTGCCTGATAGTCTCTATTTCTTCTATAAAGTCAGAGGAAAGGTCATTTCTTGTAACTGAGGAAGAACAGGATTGCATAGGTTTCACAGGAGTGGTAAACATTTGAAGAAGCAGGTGGAGAATATGAGAAAATTTGTTAAAAACACAGAAAAGACCTCCAACTTATCACTGAAACTTCAGGCCTTGCCAATCTATACACAGAGGGAATGTTTCCCATTGTCCATCCTTTCTCCTCCAGATTTATTCCATCTTCTATGCTTTGTATTTCACCCCTTCTATGCCTTGTATTTCACCCCTCCCAGCTCGGCAGCTTCTCTTCTAATTGTTCTTGTCTTTTCTCACCATTTCCTGCGCAGCAACGCCCAGTGAGTCTACTGACCACACTCCTCCTCAGTTTGATCCATGTTGCATCCCAACAATTGCTCCCTTTCTAAATCACTGATACTCAAAAACCACAGATGGTTCCCTCTATAACAGAAGAAATGGTGCAGTGGTGTGGCTCTGCCCCCACACTGCCTGCCTTATGTCTCCCATCACACCCCCATGCTTTTGCTCTATTGCCCTTTGATTCAATCATCCTATTCAAGATCATTATTTGTCAAGCTCTACACAAATGTCATCTCTTCTATAAAGTCACCCTAGGCCCCCAACATCTGCGTTAACCTCTCTGCACCACCCGCACATTCCCAATACTTCAATTCGCTCATACACAGAGCTCTTAATTCCATCCTGTTTGTATTAAATTATTTATGTGCTCCTCACTAGATTGTCAACTTTTGGAATTAGGAGACGCTGCCATATTCTACTCTCAGTACTAAACACGGCTCCTGGTAATGGTAGGAGTTTAATAAACACCTGTGAATTTTTAAAGTCAATTTACTTCTAGATGTCAGCCTTGGATAACAAGAACACACACAGTGATAGAGAGAAAATAGTCATATGCAACTTACCATTCCTTACAATAATGTTGTCCTCATCAAGATGAATTGCCATATACGGGTAAACAGTAAGCATGCAGTTTTCTGCTGTGGCAGTAACTGGAAGTGAAAATCTAAAAATGGAAATACTGTATTTCAATAACATAAAATTATCAGATGCAGTAAATACACTAAAATATTTTTTAAGTATCGTGGATGCTTTGAAGAAGCAAGACATAAATTAGTTATCATTTTTCTTTCCACCTACTTTGTTTTTTTTAACCACCTACGGTATCTATTTTAATGGTTTAAGAATGTTTACTTTTAATGCTTCTAACAGAGACAGTCAATTTCACTGTCAAGTGTGCTTGTAATTATTCAGGTTTATAACCAGATTCAAGAAATTTTAAGAGTTAAAGGGGCCTAAAAGTTAATTTACGCACCTTCTTCTACAGCATCCCTGGCAAGTGGCTATCCAGCCTCAGGTGACACTACGAGGGAGACACTACCAGGATGACGCTCATGACTCAGAGACGACCCATTTTCTATCTAGAGAGCTGTAGCTTGAGACATTTCCGTTTCCGAGCAAAAAGGAACAAAATCTACCATCTAATCCCCATCGCATTCCTTCAAATATTTACACACAGTATGAACAGTCAAGGATTCTTTCACCTGCAACATCTCTAAATATTTCACAAACCATTTAACTTTTTTAGATGAGCTTTTGTTTTGTGTTTGTCTTCCTTTAACTGGGTCTGATAACTGAAAACACTGCAAAAGTTATTAAACCAGTGGAGAGTACTATTACCTTCTACAACCTGCACTCCATTTTATGAAAGTTTGTGAAAGTGCCTTATTATTTTTACCAGCTACAAAACGCTCTTGGGCCTGTCTAACTTATGTGACAACTCTGTCCTTGTACAGCTGATTTTTCAAATAAGTACTATATTAGCTTTATTGTCATTCTGCCAATTGGTTTCAGTTCTGCACTACAATAGTATATCAAGATAATTTTAGCCTTGAATCAGCCATTTACACACACACATGCATACACACACCACACACCATCCACCTTTCTCCACATCCGAACAGCCATCACTGCCTGAGTCCTATGTGATCATTCTCCACACTGCTGAATTCTAGAAATGAAGCTACTACATGCCAGAGAAGGTAAAACCAACAAAAAACCCAAATGAGAAAAAAAAGTCAAGTAAGAACGTTTATGTCTACAGCACAGAATAACCAATAAAACGCAAATTATATTTTTACAAACCATAATTTTGATACTGAATGGCATGGTGACCACATATAATTCATTAAATAAGGTGCGGAAAGCTTCATCATTTATCTCTCTGGTCATTAGCTGGTGAATAATTAATACTCTAATTACACATCTCTAATTCTTTCTCCATCAATTGTGAAGATTAAGAGACTCTTATGCTTGTCATCCCAAATCACTTTAGGGATGAAACTGTGAAGCTTCATGTTAAATCTATGTGATAAATGGCCTGGTAATTACAGTATTTTATCATTTTCCAATAGGGTATGAAGTACAGTGATGGCCTGTCAACAATATGTCAAACACCATGAGAAATATTATGATATTATTTATATCTTTCTCATCTTAATTGAGGTTCTCCTCCCCAGCTGTACTATTTATAGAAAGATCTTACATTATAAAAGCAGCGCTGCTGAACAAGGTTTGAATCACAGAGCTGAGCAGAGCAAGAAGGGGCAGAGCTACAGGGCATGGTGTTGGAAGCTTGTCTCTTTAGCCTTAATATGCTTTTCTGTCCAAACCTTTTTCCACAGGACAGCTAGAAAATTTTAAAATTACGTGCTGGCAGTGGCTATAAAGAATTAAAGAAGAGCCTGGCCGGGCGTGGCTCAGTGGTTGAGCATCGAACTAGGATCCAGGAGATCGCGGTTCGATTCCCAGTCAGGGCACATGCCCGGGTTGCAGGTTCGATCCCCAATGACTCTCTCATCAATGGTGTTTCTCTCTCTCTCTCTCCCTCTCCTTTCCTCTCTCTGAAATCAATAAAGATATATTTTTTTAAAAAAAGAGTTAAAAAAGAGCTTACAGCTAACACTACTTTGGCTTCATGATCTAGATTTCTATTTACAGGACTGAATAAAGTAAGAAATAGGAGGAGAAGTATCCGGATCAGCCCTCTGAAAGTGCTTTTCACTGTAAAACCCAAAGCCAACAGCATCACCATAAAAAAGAAGTGCTTATGGTTATCCACACAGTATTTAAATAAAGACTTACAAATAACAGAATGACTTTGGATGATTGTATTTGCTTTAGAATTTATTACACAAAACAAACATCCTTGAGCAAGCTTTCCAAAGCAACTTATCCATACCTATTCACCATGTTTCTCAATTCAATAACTGCTAGCAAAATAATTCACATGTAGCTTTATTTATACACAAAAGGGTTAATTGATACGTTTCTTTAAACACTGAATGCTTATTATAGCTAGCACTTTTATGTTAGTTAAGTCAATCAATGGAATTCAATCTAGTGCTATAACGTATATTTATAACAATCCAGGGCATCCATGATGTGGCCAGACAAGAAAGTCTATCACAAGTGAGAACAGCGAATGTCATTGTGTTGATCAGCAATAAAGTTACAGAGCTTTATTTACTTTTAATAGATCAAAGCAGACTGAAAACATTCCTGATGATACTGTGATTCTCAGCTATTTGTTTTTCAATATTCTTCCTTGAGTGGCAAGAAAAAGAGTAAAGTTATAACTGCTCTTCTGGGCATTGCAATAACTCACAATATGTTATCTACAGCCCATCAAGACACTGTTACTCATGAACATTAATAATTCTGGCAAATATGTGGCTATTAACCAATTTAGCAACTTTAAAAAAATTTTAGGTTTGATCTAAATGTGCATAAATCCACAGAAGTATGTTTCACATGTGAATGTATTTCATTGATTTGTATCACAGCAAAGTACAGTAAGGGCAGAGCATTCTTCCTTAGACATATGAGAGATCGATAGATGGTCATCAAGTCTAGAAATATATGCCCATTGTGCAATATTTTAAACATATATCAATTCTTTTTACAAGAAACATCTCATTTTTAGTCTGCTCAACAACCTGGAAATAATTCTGATCGATGTAAGCCGTTTTTTAAATCTCAAAATCTTTCTTTAGGGGCTCTTTTCACAATTTTAAATCACTAATGTTGCTTAATATATATCAATATATTTTATTTTTAATTCAGTGTTCTTATGGAAAAATACTTTAGTTGTTAACACGGTTTAAAGTAGGGTTTCCAGGAAGGAACTGTGGCAGCTGACTGCATGGTCAGGGAACTTTTAGGCGCTCTGTGAGGACCAGCCATCAGGCAGGTGCTCACAAACACTCAGGGAGAGGCAAAGGGCAAGGCACTGGAACTTCCTCTCAAATGAAAAGTCTCTAAGCAGGGCAAAGGCTCTCCAGCCATCACTGGCTCCAAAGAGACTGGGGGTGAAGAGAAGAAAAACATGAATGGTTAACTTTTCTTTCTACAACCTGGTGCTAAAAGCACTATGATTTTAATAATCTGAGAAGACATGGTAAATTTTATCTTGGAATTCCATTTCTGAGCTTTTGCTGTTTCTATACAAATTTAAAACACCCCCATCTTGCAACAAGTGAATGATGAACAAATCGTAATTATGAGTATTATTCTGTGTATAGTTTGTTATGATATACCGGTATCGTATATTTTGGTTAAATATAAATAAACATTCTACTTTAGAATAGAGACTATGCTGCAATCCTGTGACTTGGTTTTACAGATCTACCACGAAAATAATGTTCTTCATAGAATGAAGGTGCCATTACAAACAACCTTCCACGGGGCTAGGTTAAGGATGCTTATGTCAGAACAAAGAATGGTCCCTTAAGAATTCTACTGCCCACTCACTCCCTATTCTACATACACATACAGTACCAAGAAAGGTGGAAAAATACACTGTTATACATAACCCAGACCCCCAAACAAGACAGATGTTTTCAGGCAACATTCCAATTCTGCCTTCAGTTATGATCTATTAGATGATTACTGAAATACTCTTGAGATTTCCCATTGCCCGCCTTTCAGCGGCCACAAAGCTAAAATTCTAGACGGCTCATTGCCAACAGGTTTGTGCTAAGAATGGAGACTCCAAAAGATGAACAAGTCCTAAATACTGCTCTTCTTAATCCATTAGGGGGGCTTTGAATACCTGAAAAGTTGCTTCTAGCTATGTGGCAGTGTCCCATAGAGGTTCTTGATTCAATTTACATATTATTTTCAAATATCCCAGGGAGAAACATAAAAAGCAGATATTAATTTACACTACAGTTACTGAGGTTGTGCTGCCAACCTGAATACAACAGCACTCACATGGCTGGACTCTGGGTCTGATTCACCGCCTGCTAATCTCCCTTGCACGATGCAGGTTCCTACCCTTTCAAAAACAGTAAGGTGTCTCGAAGAAGCATACTAAAAATACTTTTCAAAATAATAGAAACAAACCCCAACTTGCCAGGCATACCCTACACAAATACAAAATTGGGCGCTGAGTAAAACAATAATTAGAATCAGCTTTCATTATTCCTCACTTCTTCTTTATTGTGTTGAATGCTTTTAAAACTAATACTTCAATTTAAGTGATTGTCCTATTATTTTAATGAGAGTAAGCATAACAAGTTTTATTATGTATCAAAAATGGTTTTGAATCCATAACGAAGTTGATAAAACGCTACCGTAAATAGAAAAAAGTGATATAATTAAGAGCTTTACATTCTTAAACAGTAAATCTGTTTGCTTTCCTTTCCCTTGCTTTATTTCTCACTCTTATGCTTTAAATTCACCAATAAAGAGTGAACATGTGAAACCCTAGGCATCTCACCCTTGACACCAATAAAGACAGAACCCCAGGCTCTCCCACACTCTTGCTCACTCTCTCTCTACTAGCAACCTCACTGTGTGGCCCCAGATGGCCCCAGGCTTGCCTTTTACCCTCCTGGACTTGTCAGTAATAAACCTTGTTTTTCAAAGCTCCCTCAGAGTGTTTTTGAGGTGCATCTTGCAATCATAACAAGAACCACAAGGGCCAGTCCAGCCACAACAATG